TTTAAATAACTAGTATAATATAATAGATGTAATAAAATCCAACAATGACAATATTATTACAATATCAGTACTAGATTGTACTACTATATTTTACTTATTATAATATATAAAAATCTATTCTATTTCCGTGATTGTTATTTTGTTTTAAAATATTTATAGTATCAATTAATATTTTAATTAATTATTTTTCTATATTACATTCTTATATATTTGTAATTCAAAATATTTATATAATTCATTATAAAAGTATAGTAAAAAGAAGAAGGAAGATTATAGTGAAAGGGAATGTTGAAGAGAAAAACTCTATAATCCTTATATATAAAATAAATTTGGAAGTTTGTCTTTCAATTTATTATAAATATTTTTAACGATAAGGAAATTAAAAGAAAAAAGAAAACCTTTTTTAATAAGAAAAAACAGCAGCAAGACATGCGCCCAAGGCGTACGTTAGCGGGAAAGGTGGAGGAAATATATGAATATGCATAGACCAGTCTGACTCATCATCATCATCGAGTCGGCGCATGTTAGCATAAGAATCAGAATTTCTTTTCTGGTCGTAAAGAATGTTGCTTCTTCAGAATTGTGATTAAGATAGAAATCCGTTGATCGATCTCTTCTCCATCTACTTTCGTTTCATCGAATCCCTTCCTCCTCCACTCGAATCAATCGGTCAGCTCTTTTCACCTTAGTTTATCGATCCAATCTACTGTCCAAATTAACCCTATGATCTTTTTTATTTTAATTCTTGTTTTGAATATTGTCAATATGATGTTGATATAGCTATTTTCTTTAATTTTTTTTGATTCGTTATTATGTTACATAATATGTTTTTTGGAAAGGGGAATCGATTTTCTTTTCTTTATTTTTATTTTTTAAAACGATGAAAGTTAGGATGTTACAGTTTTAAAGAAATTCTAGATCAACTAAATGAGTGAATTGTTGAATTTTTTTTATACAACTAATATGATCATAATTGTAATTGATTGCATTCTATCTGCAAATCCAAGACTAACCATTAGGAACAACTAACAAACTAGTAGAGCTATGATATAAATATAGATATTGACTATATTGCATCTTTTTCAAAAAAAAAAAAATCTAGAGCAATATGTTTGTGGAGAGGAGATCGAGAAACATAGTGGATATAAGCAATGTGAGGAAACCTCCTTCATTGGTAGACCTTTGCGTTAGGACAGCAATAGATAATGTGAGATACCTTGGGGATGTTGGCGAGACAGATTCACATCTTCTTGAACGTATTCTACCACATTGTACAATGGATCAGTTAATACATGTTGAGAAGAGTACAAAAGTAAGTTGACTTTCTTAGTTTGTGCTACAATATATATATATATATATATATATATTTGGCTTTGATTATATTTATTTTAAACGGATTGATTGATTGTTATAGGGAAGGGATCTCAGTCCAGTAACTGACAAACTGTGGAAGAATTTCTATGAGCTGCAGTTTGGTCGTGCAAGTACAAATCTTGTAATTGAGAGGATGAAGCTCAAGAAAGTTTCATTTAGATGGAGACAGTTGTATGAGGTGATCTTTTAACTTTCTTTCCTTGCATGCCGTCTTCTCTAATAGCTAGGTCATTGGTGGAATTTGAGGATCAGCAATGTGTCTTTCCTCAGAGATATGCACTGTGTTACAGACTTCCCTACTAAAGTTGCATGATTTATTTGTAGGCAAAATTGAAGGACGTTCAGGAGGCTGAGAACAAAGCAATTGATCGGCTTAAGCAACTATACAAGAAAGAAGATGCTAGTATGCTTCTTGTTTCCAAATTGTTAATAAAATATAATCCATGGTTTTGACATGATGCTTGCTTGCTACATGTTTGATTTTATCTCTTAGACATTCGTAATTACTGGTTTGGTTTGCATTTAGGGGTCATTACCTGTGAAATGGTGCCCCAAGCTTTATCGTGCAAGCACTCAAGTCTTTCAAAAGAGGCCACTTCATTCAAAAAGTGCTGAAGGTTGGAACTATTTCTTGATTACTATTCGTAGGAACCTTCATCAAGCCAAACTTGCACTGAGAAGTGGCCTTGTGCTGTCCTACATACTTGGGCTAATAGATTGGAGAGTATTAGAGAGTCTGATTTGTGGTAGTCAAGTATATATTTATATTAAAATATTAAAGTATTGAATGACTTATAAACCCCTGACCTAAGACAGATTTGAGAGCGAGAGGTAATTGATTGGAGAGAAATAAATTGTCTTCCTTGTGGTAGTCTCCTATGTGTTTATGTTAGAATATTAAAATGATTTATATATGATTTACCCTAATTACTTTATTATAAATGTTCAGATTTTATTTTTTTAGCTTGCAACAGGATTTTTTTCTTTACTATTATTTGCAGTATCCTAAATCTGACAAATTGTGGGCCTTTTCCATTCAGCATTTTAAGTTGTTGAGCTATATTAGGGTATTCATACTTTACTAGTGTGTCTCAAGGAATCTGATTCATAATAATGAATAAGCCACCAAACAAGTACTATGTCCCGTTCTTAGATCTCTCTCAATATCCCATCCCCTGCAGGATTGGCAGACTTGTCTCCATTTTCTAGTTATGCACACTGCTAAAGGCATTTAGGACTTACACAATTCATCAAGATGGCTGATGATGTATATTTGCCTTAAGTTACCATTAGGTGTAAAAAAGGGGATGAAACCCACCATACTAGGCTAGTAAAACCAATTTCACTTTTATCAATCGGATGTTTCCTTTGCTTATGCTTCAAAATTTTGAAATGTGGAAGGAAAGCTCCTTAGATGGCATGGAAGTTGAATTGACAGAATTTTTAGATGTTTGCAGTTGTTGGCCTATTATTTTCTTCAATCAAATAATTTTGATGAATAAAATTCTTTAATTTATATGAGGTCCACTAAGATTTTTGCCTGTGGTATTGTATAAATAACTCTTCATTTTTATCATGGCTGTGGTGTCATTTGAGTAACTCTGTAGATGTCTTCAAACATGGATTGAAAATGAAGATGTGTGAGTTATATAAGAGAACCTTTCATGTAGATACATCAATAAAATGAATTTGTTGCGAGGGAGCTCTTGCTACATCATCTGCTCCTTCCTAGATTATAGTTCCACAAATTGCAAGCAAGAAAAATAATTTGGTTGCCTGCCTAATTCTTGTCTGTTTTGACTGTAAATTATTTTAGTTCAGCTCTTATGCTCTGTGCAGGATCAAAATTTCTTACCTTGATTTCAATTTTAATAGGAAAACAAAGCCGGCAGGTTCAGCTTTGCACAAAGGTTCCACCTTCGAGTAAAAGAAACTTTTTCGCTGGTATATATAGCCTAGTTGTTTGATCTAGTCCACTGGTCTCTTATTGGAATATATGCAACTTTGATCTTTGCGGCTGTTAATTAAAGAAGGTATTTCATGATTTGATGTTTTATTTATAAAATCTTAATACTTCTTCTAGGAAGTGGACCTGGCTACAATCTCTCCAATGCCAAGAGCAACATAATGAAGAAGGCGAAGATAGATCTTATGAATAGGTAATCTTTCCTTTTCTAATTTTCTAAAAAACCTTGGAGAAAGGGAAAAAGATTGCTGCAAATATAGCAGATAAGGAAAATTTTCCTACTTCCGCCAACTGTTAGTAAGATTGGAGTTTATTTTTCGTATTTTGTAAGGGCATGTTTTGTAGCCCCCTGGAATTTGAGTAGCAACATTGATTATTTTATGGCATTAATGCTCTAGCAGCTAAAATCATGAGTTGGAATTCATGAAAATGCCTTTAACTGATAATTTATGATCGTGACAGTACAATTCTTGAATATTTTCCCTTTTTTCCCCTGATTGTTCCCTTTTCTGGTTGATGGATAAGTGCCTTAATAAATAAGGCATAGTTGTATCTGAGACTTCCAAAGACAGTCTAGCATTTCTTATAGTTTTTAAAATTGAAATTCTTGGTTGTATTGAGACAAAGTGGCTCAATTGCTGTTAAACACATACAACATTAACGCCTATGCAAATGCTACTATCAGTCCTAAGATTTTGAAGTTATACAATACTTGAGTATGCTCTACGCCTAGAATGATTGGGATTAAGATTTACTTCATCAAGTTGGATATTTGTGGAAATTAATTATTTCTATCTTCCCCTTCTATCTTAAACAGTCAAGAAGTGAAAAATCTTGCAGCCATGAAGAGAAAAGCAGTTCAGACTCATCATAGGTAATATTCTAACCTGTACATTATTCAATTTAGATTAAATAGCCATCCATTAATTTGAGTCCATCATTACATTGGCTTCTTGAAACACAGTGGTACCACCATAACAAAGTCAAGTGGGTTATGGGGAAAGAATTCTGCTTCAAGTTCGAAGCATACCAAACCCTTAGACAGAAGATTTTAGAAGCACGTTTTTGAACATATAAATGCGCAGTCCCAAAAAGGTTCTAGTGCGTTCCTCTCCTTTCTGTTTTCTTTTCTTTCTCTCTCTCTTTCTTTTTTTTTTTTTTGATTTTCCCTTTTAATATTTGGAAAGTAATAATAGATGCACATGTAATTTTATAAATTTTATTTTCAATAATGTAATTATTTTCTAAGGTTTGCAATTACTATATCTTGTCATACAATCATACCCAAGGGACTTGTTGCCTTTAGACAAAGGTCATTCACGAAGAAGAACAAGGACTCATCATGGTCAAATTTTCAAGAATCTCAGTCACAGGTCTAACAGAAAAGATATTGATATTAATGTTGAGACCTTTCTAGTGATGACCTTTATTCTCAAGGTGTCAATTAGTGTAGGGTAAAAATCAAAGTCTATTTCAGTAGCTTAATTTCAACTTGGGGCTCAGAATGACAGTTTACTTTTATGGTGTTACAGTACTGGGGCATAGGATTCAAAATCAAATACTAAAGAAATGAGTGTTGAATTTTAGTGAATACCCAACTTTACATTTACAGAAGCTATTTATGTGGTGTAGAAATTTAAGAATTGAATATGATAAGACTGTCAAAGACACATATTTATAGCTTCAAAAAGTGGTTCAGACCACTTTATTTTTCCTCAGGTATTATAGTTGCTTAATGCTGCAAATATTTTCTCCAATAAAATATTTAATTAATCGGTTTCCAACAGGAATAACCAAACAAACAGGGAAAAAAAGGACTCTTTGAATAAAATAAAGTTTCAATGCTTTCCATCATTATCAAACAATACTTGAGCAAAGAATGATTTTACATGTGAGCAAAGTCAGTTATTAGTTTAGTTATGCTTGGGTTTAGGAGATGTTTAGAGCTTCTTAGTGGGCTGAATCAGAAACCATAATGTAGCAACGGTAAAGCCCCCTAGATGGAAATTCTGTACAATGTCAGAAAACATGAATGTCCATATGGCTTGCAGCTTTGGTTTTGTAAGGATAGCTGTTGCCTAGAATATTGGCCTTCTTTATGTGGTCTAATCAGCTATGGTCTCTTCTTCTGCTAAATTCAGGGAACTTTTTTTATGGATTCTACGCCCTTTTGCACTCTATGTATATTTAGTTGCCACCTAATTTTAACTCAGTCTTGCCCTCTCCTATGTGGTCAAGGCCCAGAGTTCAGAAGAACTTCATACATCAGGGTAAAGTCATTAACATATATTCTGTTTAATGTCTTAGCCATCCTTTGTGGGTGGCGGGTAAGCGTTGCTGATCTCATTTGACAGAAGACGACACACAAAAGGGCATGCTATTTCAGCATCCTAATTCATTAGGTTGCTTTCCTGAAACATGGTAAAACCCTACCACAATTTGTAAGCAGTGGGCTGCTGCAGTCATTTAAGATGTGAAAATAGAAATCCCTAAGTAGAAGGTTTATTTGCACTTTATTTGCACTGTCATTATATGGTATAGACCCTTGCTTTATATATGCATTGACAGTGGTATACAATCTGTAAAATTGGAATTCATATCTGAGAAAATTTCAAATAACCACAACAAAATGAACAATTGACTTACAGAAGTCACTGTTGTCTGTGATACTGGTGCCATGTAATTGAAATAAACTTCAAAAAGAGAACATTTAGTCAATTTTTTCCAGTACATGAAATTGACATAGAGCAGAAAAATCATCCTCTTGAGCCACAAGTTGGTCTGATCTAATTCTAATCTGTATGGTCTGTCTCTATGTCTTGTTTCCTGCATGACACTGAACAGGCTAAACACGCAGCAAAGACAACAGGGAAAATATTTAATTTGATAGGGTTATTCTCGTGTTGCTGGAAATAATTGTACTCCACTGTTGAGAAAATGCACTGAAACACAGCACAAATAAGTCCAAAAGTTTCAGCAAAGTTACTGAATATTGCTTTGTGAGGAAATGGATAACAAAACCTTCCTGCCCGTGTCCATGAAACTAATTCCTTTCGACTTTTATAAATGAGCTCACCAATGCAGATAAGCAAAGCTGACAAAGATGTTAACAACCCAATTAGTGCATAATGTGGCCGACGTGGAGAAGAAAGTTGATCACAGGCTGCTGTCAAAGTCTCCAGAACCAGGTTGGTGATTACAAAGCCCCACTTAGAAGCAGCCTGAGGAACAGAGTTAGTCTCAAGGTCGGATTGAAGAGATGAAGGAATAAAATTAAAAAAAATAAAGGAAAGAATGTTGCAAATGAATTAGGGGGGGTTTCTTACCCTTGTAAAGCAGCCGTTTCTTGTTCTATTAGGCGTGCCTTTGTCATTAACAACAGTTAAAACAATATGCTGTGTTGGAGGAGGAGGAGATGCAATGGGGTTTGACTGGAAAGAGTCCTCCATAGGGTGAGTGTGATTTACACGAGGACTGATGGTCTCATCTTGCATAGTTAGCAGATCACTTGTATTTTGGTCTTCCGTGGGAAGTAGGTGATTATACTCACTCTCGAGACCAAGTAGATTAATTATCAAATCCTCCCAGATCTCCTGCCTCATGCTGTTGCTACCAGCTTTTGAATCACTTCCTGGCTCGTATTCTTGCTGAGGCTTCTCCATACACTTGTGCTTCAGATCATCATCATAATCTTTTATAAATACTTCATCCCCCGCATCTCTTTTGGCTATGGGGATTCTGGTCTGCTGTCTTCCGATGTTCAAATTTCCTCCCTTCCTTTCTCCCTCGCTCACTCACAAAAGGGGGAAAAGGTTGTTCACTGCTTCTTTGTTATCAGCTACCGCTATGAATCTTTTGATACTCATGATTTCCAGATAGATTTTAACTAGCCAAAAATGAAGGAGGGGAAATTTGACACTCAACAGCAGCTTATTTAGTGTCAAAGATTGCTAAGACAAAATGTCAACGCCCAGCATGGGCCGGGGCCCTAATAATCGAAGGTAATGGTTTTATTTCTCACTTTCCCCCCATTGAATAGTAAATTATTCACTTTTAACCCTACCCTTTTCTTGCCTTTTCTTCGCTCTTCCATTTCTGCAGCTATTTCTTTGTGGTAAATCTCAATCTGATCGGAAATTTTCACACTGGGTAGAAGCTTAAGGAAGGGTAACTTCGGTTACACAAAACAAATGCTGGAAAATTTCAGTTGAACAGAAATTTCTTTTTCTTGCTTTATCTATCACAAGCTGATTTGCTTGATAATGTTCTTGCCATACCAAATTTTCAGTAATCTTTTAGCATCTCACAAAGCCGTTGGTAGGTTCTAATGATACGCTATTTGTTTCATTAGTAGGCCGACGAAATTGGCCCAAAAATAACAATCACAGGTCCGCGATGCTATTCGTTTAGGGACCAATCTGAAACTTCTCCTGCATGACAGAAAAGTCTTGTCTCAAATTGCAGAGATTTAGTCTGTGAGTTGGCTCAAACCCGCATTGGATGTTCGTTCCGAAAATGCTAAGAGTATATTTCTCTCAAGTCTATTAACCAACAAAGAAAGTATATTGCAAACTCGATTAATTATATAAAATTGCTCGTATGCACACCAAGCTGAAAAACATATAATTTCAACTGCGAACAAATAACAAATAAATTGTACCACTCCCACCTTCCTCATTCCTTACTTCCTAGTTTATAATTTTAATCGTAGATTTGTGATTGAAAATGAAACAAGGTCATGCAAGTGAAATGAGGGAGTGTATAAATCATTATTCATGTCTATGATTACGAAGCACCATCTGGAAGCAGCCTACATATCTATCAGAATGAAAAGCTTTAGGACTAATTAAGTTACCTTAACTTGAAGCTCAAATGTTGCAAATTCAGTGGAGCGTTCTGACCCTTGTTTGAGGTCTCCCATCATCATTTGTAACACTCAGAACATAATGATCTGGTGGAGGCACAAAGAAGGAGTGGACTGAATCCTCAACAAAGGGCGCTTAGCTCACATATCTTCATGAATTGCAGGAGAAGCATAGTTGGCAGATCATTTCTTTCTTCATATTGGTGAGGAAATTGGTGATTATACAACTCACTCCTCAGACCTTGTAGTTTAGTTCTCGTTTCTCCGGTTCAGTTATCAAGAGCTCATGCTGATAGTGCTACAACTCATCATCTTGTTCACAATTTCTATTAGTCATGGCAGTTTGCTCTACTGTTGTTCTTCCAATATCCATACTTCCTTTGCATATGCTCTCTCAAACTCACAAAAGGAAGTTTTAGACAGAATGGATATTAATTAAAAGGAGTGATAATGTAGGCATGCCTTTCATTTAATGTAATCGCACTAGTATTTCACATTTAGGCAATAAACCTCAATTATATCAATTTCATTTAAAATAAAGGAATAAGATGCGCAAGTGAGACGACAATAGACAATAATTTTTGATATTAGAGAAGTCATTCGTTTAGTAACTCCTTTCTTTTACAGATACAAGCATAGGGTATTGAAAATAGGCATCGTGGTTTCTATTGGTCTCATGTTTGTTTTCACCTTTTATAGTACGTCCAGAGCAGAACAAATATAGGCTCTGCTAATAAAGTTTATGCAGTAGGGTAGAAGCTTGCATTGCTATGCCGCAAAGGCCTTCCTTTGCATCAACATCTCTCTGCATCCTAATATACCCTCTTCACCCCAGCTAGTGCCCAAGAGTTCTTCACCAACCAAAACTTGGTTCCATCATCATCGGCTCCATAACAACAGCAGTAACACCATGATCTAGGTCAGTGCCACAATCTCCAGTGAATACACCACTGGAGTAGAACTGGAATTCATACCCCCCAGCGTCAATAGCAACGGAAACCGGTTGATTTGCAACAGCCTTCTGTAATGCTCTTCATTGTTGGCTGGCACATCTTCATGCCATTTATATTGGCCGCATGGTTGGCTTCCTTGTTGGTATTGCATGTGCCATCACTCCCTTGTAGGGGTAGTCCGATTCAGTTGTTAGGCCTTTGTTGTTTTGGATGAATTGGAACGCATCGTCCATCAGACCACCCTCACAGCCTTGATCCTCACCTTTGGTATCACAGTCAACCAGCTCCTGCTCAGACAAGGAAATTAGCTTCCCTGTTGATAGTTTAGTTACCCCTTCCATGGCTGCCACAGCAGAAAACGCCCAACAACATCCTGATGAACATTACATCAACAGTTAGAAATAAGAACCAAATACTAGTAACATTTTGGTAATATTAATTTCTTACCATAAGGAATTTGCACTTACCACACTGGCCTTGGTCCTTGATAGGAGTTACAGCTCCTTTCTTTCTCCAGTCCATGGTAGAAGGCAAGCAGTAAGATTTTCATATTTGAAAGTTGTAGCCTTGTTGGAACACATATGGCCCTTGAACCTATTACGAGAAGCAGTGAACTCATCGTTTGTAAGATCTGCAAATTGATTGACACCGAGCTTGTAAGGTTTGTCCTTGGCGCGATTGAAAGAGTCAATGCGTGCCACATTTTCTTTGAAAATATTGAAACGTTTCTCCCTCTCATTGTTGTCCTGGTACACTCGTCCATAACGGGCCATCCATTGCTCATGCCTCTCATACATGGATGCATCTTGAAGAGTGCGCGATGTGACTTCACAAACTAACGCACCGACTATGAAGACAAAGGCCAAACAAATGCCTTGATGCAGAGCAGGTTTTTGAAGGCCATAGAGGAATAGCACGCGCTTGCTAGATTAATGTTAATGAGATGAGGCACACAAACCCTGATGAATTCTTAGACTTATATACTCCTAATTTTCCCCAATTGCACACTTATTTTAGCCTTCTATCTGCTTTCGGGGCACGTACGTCCTGTTTGTCTACGTGCCCTCAAAACCCTTCTGACAAAGACCCGTAATCATAACTATTCCTTTGACAAATATGGTACAATTTTTACAATTAAGTTAAATCCTCTAAATCTGTTCTAGTTGAATAGTGGACTTGTAGTTTATCATCATTGCAAGTGATGGTTTAGTGGTTAGAAAGTTTGATTTTGTATTCAAATGCCAAACAAAAATGCTACCTCTCAATCACCTTGCCGTTTCATTTATGTGACAATTAAGGAAATTAAGCAGTCTAGTTTATTACTCAAAGCATTATTAAGTCCACATCAGATTAAAGAAAAATGCTAAAGTAGATATCTATTATTATCCAATATTATGTTAACTAGACGCAAAAAAGAAAAAGAAAAGAAAAGAAAATGGCCTAATGTTTAATTTAGTTATAAGTTGTCATTATATATGCTCAGACACAATCTCAGCCAAATTTAGTAGGCTTGTATAGTCATATATATAAACAAGTAGGAGAACTTGCGTGGTAATGTCCTTGGTCTCAAACAAACAACTAGAACCAATCTGGTTAGAGAAAGAGAAATGAAGCAGGATATGCTGACCATTTTTATCATAACGGTAGACTAAATATAACCTAATTTCTAGCTTGGATGCTTTTGGCAATATCATAAGATATGTAGGATATACCGAAAACTAAGCTCACGTCCCTCTATTTGTGTTCATATAAATTGATTGAAATGCTTGAAATTTTCAATAATTAAGTCAGGAAAACGCTTTATTTTTACTCGAAACTTTTCTGAAAGTAATGCACGGTTGCTGTTCTGATTGTCTGGAAATTAAATAGTTGGGATGATATTGTGTAATTGTTATTACTACATCATCGCTAACTCAACCCAATAATATCCCATTCAGTACCTCTTCCATGAATCAAGAAACTTGATGATAATCTATTAACACAATCTAATTTTCTTCCAGTGATACAAGTGAAAATGCACAATGGTTTTTGGATAAAGAGGGGCCAAAAAATCCATGACAGGTACAATGTATGGTCTGAAAATTAATCAACAGCTCAACATAAAAGTACACCCAGGTGCACAAATGTGCGCGCTGCATGCACACCAAGCAACTGTTTACCAGCAATCCACTGTAAACAAAGTTGTAGGTCCTACAGACTCACTCATGAGAGACGGTGATTATAACTATATGCATACTGTGAGAGCCTTGAAATGATGTACGTCTACCGTCAGAAAAAAGAAATGGTGAATGTCTGATCATTAAATAATACACATTAACATATAACATTTATTCGGAACAGCACCTAAATAAATAAAGGAATCCCTCACCATCAAACAAGCACCAGATCCTAGGAAAGGACATACAGACTAGCCTCTTCATTAAAAAATAATATCTTCGTCCTTCTCCATGGCTGCAGATAACAAATTGTGAGCTGAGTTGATTGAAACCCCTTTTTGCAAGGAAACCTTCTCTGCAAACTGATCCTCAGCTTGCTGCTTGGCAGCAGCAAGCTGTCTCTCTATTTCCCTCTTCTTATAACCTTGTATCTTCTTCAACCTGAAGAAATCCTCCCTTTCAAGCTCATCCAACTCTCCCTTAATGTAACTTATCGTATTCTCCAACCTTGGCTTCACAACATTCTCTAAAGCATTAACTCTACGATTTGTGGTCTTGATTGCCTCATCAAGTGTTAAGAATGATGTCTGAAGAGAAGCAAGCTCAACTAGAACCTCAATTGCTTTCACATAGGCAGCACGGCACTGTTGAACCTGTTGTCCCCCTCTGGCCAAACCAGTCAGATCATTCTTGGTCTCGCCTTCTGTGAAATACTCAAACTTGGGAAGCTTCACCCCAGCAACATTCTCTTGTCGGGATCGAACTTTAAGAGAAGCATTTTGAACATTCTCAAGGACAATGTGTTTAATGTTCTCACCAGCAACATACTTAGCCTCAGTTAGGGCAAACGAAGAGGTCTTCATAATGTCTCCCATTGATTCTTTTGTAGATACTATCTTCTTAAGAATCTGACGAAATTGTACAGTTAGGGCATCACTCTTCTTCTTGAGAAGCGCATGACCTCTTGTAGCACCCACAAGCCGAGCTTTCATGACTCCAAGCATTGTAACAGTTGGAACCACATTCAAGCGCTGGCTTTGACCGGACATCTTTCAGATATCTGAACCATGAGACATTATAGGTAGGATTAATAAAAATATTTAACAAAAGAATGTTTCTTAGCCGACCTTCAAACAGAAACAAATATATACCAATCATACTGATTCTACAATCTTAAAGGCACATCTCAACTTAAGCTTAATTTGTCAACACTTAAGTTAACAGTTTTACCAAAGCACTTAAATTGGACAAGCAGTTGCATCTCAGGTTCTGCATCAAAAGACTAGATCAGAGAAACATGTAGCAGTAAATAAGAAGTCGAATCCTATTAATTAATTGTCCAATGCAAGCATCTTTTAAACAAGAATAGCAATATTTCGCCATCAAAATAAATAGAAGAATAGGGCAAGTCCACCTATAATACCACCAAACAAATTTGTATATTAGACAAAATTTTATAGCATCATATGTAGACAGGAGCCCAAAAAGCACCCTTAGTACAATATCCATATATACCATAGCCAATTTGCCCTTATTTCATTCTTTCTTCTTCAGTATAGCCGGAAGTTATTCACCAGCTCATTTAGCTTTATAATAAACCTTCACATATCCAATTACATTTTTTTCTCCTCTTTTCTGTTTCTTTTCCACAGTTTAGTAGTCTAAACATCATTTTTCTCTCTTTACAAAATCTTCTCCAATACAAACGTGATAATTAGTTTGGAAAAGTAATTAAAAATATTTTTTTTTGCATGTGTGAGTGCCCATGAACGCCCCAAGTATCTGTTTAGAATTTGGGAGTAAAATTTTCAAACCTATTTGCACGAAACTATTAACTAAAAGCCCATAAAAGCACATAATTTTAGTAAAACAAGAAGGACAGCAGTATTTATATATATATATATATATATATATCAAATTCTATACATATAAATGTATGTATGTATGTATGTATGCATGTATATGTATACATACATATACATATTTATGAGTATCTAGTCTAAGCTCATGCAACCATATCTAGTAAGATCCGCTCAGCAAAATTGCACTCACAATTCAGCATCACATGCAAAACCAGAAACCATTATGGAAAGGGAAAAAAAAAGCCATTCAAAAATACAAGAATAAACCAAAAGCACTACCACAAAATAGAGTGATGGTGAGGATCTAAGATTCATGATCAACACTCCGACTCAAAAGTGAGTATCCAAAATTCATGATGGACACTAGGACTCCGAAAGATCATGGATCACAGAGATATTCTCAATATTATAACAAACCGGAGGGGAGGAAAAAACAATAGAACCATTTGCCCCTACAATATAATTCTTGGGCTAAAGAAATTTTCCTTTTTATTTCTTTTGGTTTGGCTAGTACAACGAGATGTATGCTTGGTGCTTTGGCGACACAGGGAGCGTACGGAGAGAGAAATATCCCATGTAAAGGATGGGACTGATTGGACTCAATTCCAGTAAGGCTTCAATAGAGCTAATTTTTTCATTTTTAAATTTTTTTAAAACTTAATTATCAAATCTCCTTCCATTGGAGTTGAATTGAATTATCAAAATGCAAGCCACGATAATGAAACAGGAATCAGATTCGAGAATCAGAATACAAAATTTTCTCCTTTTAATCTTCTAATCGGAATTAAAAAGTAACAATTAAAATGTGTAGACTTAAATGGAAATTCCACCGATCAAACACTCAGATAACAAACCCCAAATCGAATTATCAAGTAGATAGTTCTTTTTTAAAAACGAAATTGAGATCTAAAACAGGGTATGAATGAAATCAAAGGAGAAATTCCAAATCGAGGAAGAAGAACCTGAGAGAGCGCGTCTTCACCGGTAATCAGAGCGGAGATTCGCCGCCGGGGTTCGAACTTGGAAGAATGAATTTTGCTTGGAGAAGTATTTTTGGGCTATTTGATTTTGATCCGTCTGTTGGAACTTGGAAAGTGACCGAGGAAGGTCGGGGCTTATATAGGTGGGTCCCAGATGCCACTGCAATGTACTAATTTTACTGTACTGGGGTGTGATCCAAACTGGCAAACAGGACCCGACCCGATTCCTTCCGTGTTGAAATGAGGCTCGTCCAATTTGATTTGCTTAATGGACACGTATGATAATACCACGTGTCATAGTGTATTCCATGTCATTTATGCTACGATGGTATTATTTATCTTAGTTGGCAAAATAGTTATTGATGTTAATTTATTTGACAAATATGATAATAATAATAATAATATTGAGGCATTTGAAGTTCTTTAACCAAATTAAAGCGTCCATTTTAAATTTAAAGGAATTTGAAAAGGCAAAACATTTTGACTATTCTCTCAATTTTTTTTTCTGTGTTCAATTTTTCTTGGAAGTTCCAAAATCATGTTTTTTTTAGCACCTACTATTTTTACTTTTTTATATTTTAAATTTATTTGTCATGATTTTATTAATTTTTTTATTAAAAACCATGAAACATCAAATTTATAAAAAAATTAGTTTTAATATAGTAAAATGGGATAAACTCAAAAATAAAATTAATCTTGTAAAAGTCAAATAAAAACAAACAAAATATGAAAAAATCACTAATTTTTTAAAAAAGAAAGTTTATGCAGTTCAAAATTATAAAATCAATTTTGATGTTCAAAAACAGTATCTAATATTCTTCCAAACAAATCACCTGTTATCCATAACAATCTAAATATCATATTCTTGTAATATGATCATATGTCTTATTTTCTTCCTTAAAACTTTCAATTTATATAAAAAAATCATTTCATCAATTTAACCATTAAAAAAACGTAAATTGCATTAAATTTCAAAATTTTATCATAATTTAGCTCAAATCTATTAAATTTGAGAATGAACATTCCATCTCAAAATAACAAATGATAGTAACATATATGGTTTGATTACTAAAGTATCTATCACCCTAAACACTACCCTCCTTTGAATCTAGATTGAACAATCCTCCTCCATCTTTTTCATCATCCATCACCTAAACCTATAATTCCTCTTGTAACAATGTTCAAGTCTGTCACTACATGCATAGAGATACAAAGGAAATCCAACTTTACTTGGAAATCAAACCTATAATTTCTCTTGAAACAATGTTCATGTCTGTCACCACAGGTTACTCTTCTTCCAAACCAACTTTTGATATTGGTTCTGCTGCGAAAATGTTAATAAGATGGTCTTTGTTCATGCTAGTCAAATGTAGATGTAGCTGCTGGTAGTTCACATCTATTAGATTTGATTATGAGAGTCTAATGACTAAAAGTGGATCTAGTAGTGAACTTGAAATGGACTGTGATGAAGAAGAATAATATGATATTACTAGTAATGGTGTTGATTGGATGTCTGAGAATGCTAATCAAAATAGTCAATTAGATGGTAACGAGAATATTGAGATTGAGGATATGGTGATGCATGATACTCTTGATGAGTTATTTGAGCTTGGAAAGGGTCTGATTTTGATAGGGAAGGTATAGCTAGCCATTGATAGGTTTATGGCAAAAATACTTTAAGCCCTTGATGAGTTTGGAAAAGTAAGACATGTTAAAGACACATTGTTTAACAATGTTGATCACTGAAGGGAAATCCTTACTAATTATGTAATTAAAAAAGGATAAAGATAGTAAGGATAAAAAATGACAAGACTAGGCTTACAGCTTACTAAGAAGAAAATGGTTGCAATTGGAAGATCCATGCATCTATTATTGCTGATAGAAAAACATTTAAGATTAAGATATGTGAGGGTGAACACACTTGTACAAGAGTCGACAATAATCGCGTTACTACATCAAGTGCTTGGATGGTAAAAAAGCTTGGCTTTAAGATGCATGTTGAACCAAATATGTTTTAACTTAATGCAACATAAATTGAATATGAAAACTATGATTTGACTATTTACACTGTGTAGATTTCATATTCAGACAATGAACACCAATTTTAGCAAGTGCTTAAAAAAATATAAAAGAGTGGGCAAGGGAGGAACGATTATGCAAATCGCCATTGACATTGATTAAGGAAGTCAATCCTTTAGTAACAGAGAAACCTTTTTCTTAGTTTTCATAAAATTATACATCTATATTACCATTAAAATTAAACGTCGGGATTCCCATGTGGGCTTCCAACGTGTTTGTTGGCAATGTTCATAGTACATTAACAAACACAGCTGCATATAAAATAGGAAGGAGTGTTGGTTTATGCAGTAGGGTATGAAGCTTGCATCGCTATGCCACAAAGGCCTTCCTTAGCATCGACATCTCTCTGCATCCTAATGTACCCCTCTTCACCCCAGCTAGTGCCCCAAGAGTTCTTCACCAACCAATACTTGGTTCCATCATCATCGGCTCCATAACCAACAGCAGTAACACCATGATCTAGGTCAGTGCCACAATCTCCAGTGAATACACCACTGGAGTAGAACTGGAATTCATACCCCCCAGCGTCAATAGCAACGGAAACCGGTTGATTTGCAACAGCCTTCTGTAATGCCTCTTCATTGTTGGCTGGCACATCTTCATGCCCATTTATATTGGCCGCATGGTTGGCTTCCTTGTTGGTATTGCATGTGCCATCAACTCCCTTGTAGGGGTAGTCCGATTCAGTTGTTAGGCCTTTGTTGTTTTGGATGAATTGGAACGCATCGTCCATCAGACCACCCTCACAGCCTTGATCCTCACCTTTGGTATCACAGTCAACCAGCTCCTGCTCAGACAAGGAAATTAGCTTACCTGTTGTTAGTTTAGTTACCCCTTCCATGGCTGCCACAGCAGAAAACGCCCAGCAACATCCTGATGAACATTACATCAACAGTTAGAAATCAGAACCAAATACTAGTAACATTTTGGTAATATTAATTTCTTACCATAAGGAATTTGAACTTACCACACTGGCCTTGGTCCTTGATAGGAGTTACAGCTCCTTTCTTTCTCCAGTCCATGGTAGAAGGCAATGCAGTAAGATTTTCATATTTGAAAGTTGTAGCCTTGTTGGAACACATATGGCCCTTGAACCTATTACGAGAAGCAGTGAACTCATCGTTTGTAAGATCTGCAAATTGATTGACACCGAGCTTGTAAGGTTTGTCCTTGGCGCGATTGAAAGAGTCAATGCGTGCCACATTTTCTTTGAAAATATTGAAACGTTTCTCCCTCTCATTGTTGTCCTGGTACACTCGTCCATAACGGGCCATCCATTGCTCATGCCTCTCATACATGGATGCATCTTGAAGAGTGCGCGATGTGGCTTCACAAACTAACGCACCGACTATGAAGACAAAGGCCAAACAAATGCATTGATGCAGCAGCAGGTTTTTGAAGGCCATAGAGGAATAGCACCTGGCTTGCTTGCTAGAAATTAATGTTAATGAGATGAGGCACACTAACCCTGATGAATTCTTAGACTTATATACTCCTAATTTTCCCCAATTGCACACTTATTTTAGCCTTCTAGCTGCTTTCAGGACACGTCCTGTTTGTCTACGTGCCCTCAAAACCCTCCTGATAAAGACCTGTAATCATAACTATTGCTTTGACAAATATGGTACAATTGTTACAATTAAGTTAATCCTTTAAATCTGTTCTAGTTGAATGGTAGACTTGTGGTTTATCATCATGGCAAGTGATGGTTTAGTGGTTAGAAAGTCTGATTTTGCATTCAAATGCCAAACAAAAATGCTACCTCTCACTCACCGTGCCGTTTCATTTATGCGACAATGAAGGAAATTAAGCAGTTTAGTTTTCTTACTCAAAGCATTATAAAGTCCACCTCAGAATAAACTTATGAGAGGATACGAACAAGGTAGGAGAGTTAACCAAGGCATGGTGAGTACATTGCATTTTAATTAACTAGCATTGGCAATATGTTTTGGTGGATTGTATGACGCTTATTTGTTTTGAAACTGAAACCCATAATCTGGTCCATGATTATTGTTTGAAGAAGACATTGTTGGTTTTTGTTATTATTATTATTATTTGAAAGATATTATCAAACACTTAATGAAGAGAAGGAAATAAACATGCATTCATCCCTCAAAACTAATAAATAACATACCAAATTCTAATATTACCAACCAGGATTTATATAATAGAAGGATACTGTGTTGTTCCATTTCTGATTTCTGGTTACCGCCTCCAATTTCCAAACACTGAAAATGGTCCACGTTCTAAATTTGAACAGTTTGCTGCGTCCATACATCCATCTCTTATGTATGACGTTCAACTGACACTAGTTAATTTCTTAAGCAGGACAACCAGCTGACTCGAATCAATAAATCTTTTTTCAATTTTTCTTTTGCCATGGCAAATTTGTTGCATATGAAGTGAACCCCAGGAAAGCAGGACTACGTGTTCCAAACCCTAATCTGCGATGTAACTCTTCCTCCCTAGGAACACCCTTAGGCCTAAGATAGCTAGCTAGCAAGTGCATTCTTCTACATATATACTTGATGTAGAAATCTATTAACAAAGTACAACATGAACAAGTTACCATTTCCAAGCTCACCAACTCAAGTATTTTATGGTCTAAATTATGAGACATAACACGTATAACAAGATTAATGGGCCAATGCATCAGCTTCTGCCTAAAATACACTTTTGATGCAGAATGCCACTGATAAAGAGGTACATTTATTTTCCTGGAGATAGCCCATGCCATTTATTTCCCTTGCAAAGCCTTTTATAATTACAATAAAGACTAAACCCCAGATCCAGCCAGTCGCCGCCTCGAGGCATTTGATATGGATACTTGACTAAGCTTGTCTGCTTCAGTGGCTGCCATCCGCTCCTTGAGTGGCATATAATGCCGCAGCCATACACCAGTATAAACCTGAAAATTTAAATGGAAAAAAGTGAAATCAAGATATAGAACTTTGGGAACTGTAATATATCTTATCACAATTCAAAATTTCATAATTCCTATCACTTGAGGCAAAGTGGATAGGGCAGTTCCACAGCCAAAAAGATGGAATGAGAAGGAAATTATGGGAGCCTTTCTTCAGGGTTCTAAGTGTTTCTATACTATTTAGGTAGATTTCACAACAAATCACACTGCAATAGAAAAAAATAACATGCTGCTTGGCTTATGTGCCAAGAAGCTGGGAGTGAACATGTCAATAACATTTCATTGTCACCATCACGATCATCATAATCATGAAAATATAGATTTGAGCCTTGAACTATACCTGTTGTGGTCTTATTATCTTTGTATCAGGGTCATCTAGAGACTCACGCCAGTGTGCCAAGTATCCAGCCATTCGAGGAATTGCAAATAACACAGTGAAGAACTCTGGTGGAAATCCCATTGCCCTGTTGAATAAAACCTTATAAGTCACCAGACTATAACACGTGGAGGAGGAAAACTAACAATATTTTATGCATTTGTCCAGTCTTTTACAGTAAGCAGAGAAAATTAATGATATATTTACCGGTATATTAACCCAGAATAGAAATCAACATTTGGATAGAGCTTCCTCTTAATAAAATACTCATCGGATAAAGCAGCCTTCTCCAAAGCAATAGCTACCTGCAAACCACCAAGGAAATGGCATAAAGAAGCATATTAAAACATTAATGGAAAATAAAGCAATCTTACATAAGTGTATAAATGTCCCTTAAAACCAATAAGTCCAAACAAACTATATAAACATTTTCATCTTACTAATTTAAACCATATTTGAAAAAGGAAAATATTATTTACACAATCAGCCATCTAAGTCAAAGCCTTGACCAATGCCAGACAACAAGCTTTCAGAAACATAACTGAACTCTCATTGCATGCCCCCTTATATGTGATCAGCTTACATAACCATGGACAAGCTCAGGTTTAATATGGAGTAATTAAAAAATAATCAACAGAGTAGGCATGAGAAAAACCAATTGCTTTATGTAAAATAATAAAATTTGGAGGGCAGATAAACACCTCAATAAGAGGATCCCGGCCAACAATAGAAAAAACTTCCTCCGCCAATTTCTTTATCACCTTTGCCCTTGGGTCATAGTTTTTGTATACACGGTGCCCAAAACCAGACATTTTCCGCTTCCTAAAGAAATGAAGATGTATTTAAAAATAAATAAAACTTTAGAAAGAAAATACAGCATGCCGCATTTGGAACCTTTAGCTTCCTGTGACTTAAACTAACAGCAAAATTTATATGCACCATTCACCTGTTCTTGACACCCTCAATAAACTCTGGAATGTTTTCAACTGTTCCAATCTCACTAAGCATCTTGAGCACAGCCTACCAATCAAGAGAACGAAAACAAGCTAAGAGTACTGATGCACAAACAGCTCGAGAGAAAAAAAAAATTGATACTCTTAAATAACCAAACAAACAGATATAACAGCAAAAGTTAAATTGCTTAGTCTAAACTAGCATATTTTAACACCATTCCAGTGGAAATTGAATTTCCAGACCTTTACTGATAACCATGGATTTATTATGACTTTGTTTCTGCATACCTCATTTGCTCCACCATGAAGAGGACCATATAGTGCTCCAACAGCTCCAGCTAGAGCAGTGTATACATCAACTCCACTGCGATTGTAGATACATTCTGATATTTAATACAAGATTTTTTGGTTGTTCTAGCACAATTGTGCTATAACATTAATATACCTACCCTGATGCAAGATGTCGGGCAGCAGCTGTGGAACAGTTCATTTCATGTTCTGCATGTAGTATGAAAAGAATGTCCAACACTCGAGCAAGCCGAGGATTGGGCTGGTAAGACCGATTGCCCCTGAAAGGTTTTTCAATGGATATCTTAGTTACGCAAAGGAAGGCCTAATCTTATGAGTGTTCATTGCCTCCTAAATGAGGATGACAGGATAAAAGAGCATTAGCAATGATCAATGAAAATAAAATCTAGCACCAGAAGAGAAATTGTTTCTTTTCCCCAAAGTAATTTTTAAATCTAGCCCATACGCTAATGAAAGAATTAAAGGTGCAAAAGTGCATACATTGAATCTAGCATGTAAAGGAAGTTTTCAGCATAAGAAAGGGTGCTAGAAGGGAGAACTGGAGGCCTTCCTGCCATCCTCAAATAAGCTGCTGCAGCAATGGTCGGTGCCTGCAAACAGAATATCAATTTTGTATTAATCTCTCGACAGAAGGCAAATAAGTAGCATTCCCAAGCCATAGATATAGGCATGGTCCATCAGAGAAGGGACAAGGATGTAAGTAACAAGTTCATGTACCAGAGTGGAAGCCATATCAATCATGAAACAGAATCAACTTCCTTAAGAGTACAAAAAGCAGAAAGAGGAAAAGAAATTGAATGACGAAAACCTTTCCAAGAATGCGTGCTATTTGTTTGTCCCTCACTTGTTTTGACTGATAAAGATCTTGGCCCTGCATTAATAATAAGTGAATGATCAAACACCTGACAAGCTAGGAGAATAAAATAATCTCATAAAGATTTTTATATTATTATTTAGAAAACACTGCAGCATGGTAGAAGTTCATGTCTTAACAAAGCTATTCAAAAGAAAAGTTGCCAACAAGTTAAGCCCGAAATAAGCATTGGCAACAAGAGATACCCCGATAGCGTTGATCTAACAAAGAACAGTAGGTTATCGCAAATTGTTCACATTTTAATGTTTTCACAATTGCTTCCCATAAAAAATGCTTTGCTGCTGATCTGAGGCTAAAACTACATTTGCCTTCAATCTTGCCATACTGCCAGAGCATGTTTATATACAGAAGGATCAGGTTAAACCTCCTTATTCTGACCCTTTTTGTAAAAGGTTACCTCATAGTGTGAATATATATTTATATATGAGAGAGAGAGAGAGAGAGTTAATTTCTTCCAACTAACTTTTAACATTTGGAATATAGCCCCTCAAGACAGGCAACTAAAGATATATACATAAAATTTTATATCTGTCTGAAAACAATTTGATGTTACTCAGAATCCTTAAAATTCCAAAACATTTGTCCTGCATAACCTATATTTTTCTCTATATAACTATCACTTTTCTCTCAATTCTCTGCTCTCTACGTTTTACTCTTATAGACCCACATCCATAAGCATACAAAAAGCTAGTGCAACATTATGTCAACTCATATGAGTCTTCCTAAAGCATTTGCTGAAACTTAACTATCAACTTACTCTGAGAGCAGGATTGGCATCAGGATGAAAGACAGAAAGAGCACTCATTGCACTGACAAGTACACCCATTGGATGTGCATCATGAGGCATTGATTGTATAATGTCCTACAAAACAGAGATAAGAAAATACAGGTTAAAGAACTTCTGCTGAACTAGCAGGAAAGAACCCAGTAAACATTATTCTCAAGTAAAACGAATCCTGAATTTCAGTCCTGAAACCAAAGAAGGTAGACAAGTGAGGGAGTACATTTATCATAAACGTCCAGCAAATTGCAGCATCACAGAATTAGACATGGTTTAATGCTAGAAGAAAGAAAAGCATACCAGAATCCCTTGTGGCACAGCTGAATGCTGAGAAACAGCAAATTCCCAGTCAGCTAACTGACCTTCAGATGGCAAATTCCCATACACTGACAAAGAGGAAGCAAGTTACTTAAAACACATAACCAAATATATAAATAAATGCAAAATTGCAATCAAAGACATAAGAATATAAACCTTTATAGTCCCAGATAATTAGATAAAACCATTCTCAAAATAGTTTACAATTGAATTATTAAGTTAAATTCATGTTTGTCATATAAACAATGAGAAGGGTGCGCAACTATGATTTTATCCTCAAATAGTCAGTTATTAGTTAATCCAAAAAAGGTTTTGCTTTAGATGAATATCAACAAAATGGCATAAAGTTTCTCTTTACACTTTAATCAGGAGTCCAACTCCCTTTAGCAGAGTCATAACATCCTCCTCTATACCCCTCTCCACCATTCATTAGATTTCTTCTTTTTTTTTGTCATTTTTCTCACCCCTTAACCTCCCATTGATCTTCACTACACACCATGTCACAGAATTTACATACAATCTCCATGTGCATCAATTTTAAAATGGGTGGCACCAAAGGGTTCCTTTGATCTATCAAAGATTTCATTTGATTTGGTAAGTCTGAACTATCTTTCCCAAATAAAATAATGGCTTTGTGAGTTAGGATTTACATAAACTAATCCACGACTCTATACATGCAATATCATGTGCAAAGTGTTAGTTATACCAAATTGTTTTTCCTAACAAAAAATAATAATTTTAAATTTACATGCATACATTTTTTTTCCACAGAAAATTTTGAAACAGTCATAGTTCGGATAATGAGAGGCGGTGTCTGTATTTGTAAAGCTTACATAAGAGGTAGGCTACTTCCAAGAACGTGGAACTCTCCGCCAATTCCTCAATCGGGTACCCTCTGTATCTAAGAATCCCTTCATCTCCATCTATATAAGAAATCGACGACCGAACCGGAGCTGTATTCAAATACCCCGGATCATATATTTTCAGCCCCTTGTCATTTTTCCCTGTTGTTATCTACAATCATATCCAGGGTTTAAACAAAATTAGATCTCTTACAAATCAATATCGGATATTTTTAAAAAAATAAAAAAGAAACTGACAAATTGGTTTAACTTTGAAAAAAATATAACCTTTTTGAAATCAGTAGCTTTGATAGTGCCTTCGCTGGAGACAGGGACCTCGTATTTCTTCCCCGTTCGCTCGTCGACAATGGTTAACGAACCTCCGACAGAGCCGACGGTCTGAGCCGACACGCACCATTGGTTTTTCGAGGACGGTGGAGCTGAGGTTGTGGGAGGAGCAATCAGGAGCTGCCAAATGAGCAGAGAGCACGGACAACCGTGCCTTCACTTTCGAAGATAGCTCTTCCTTTGATGGCATTTTTTTTACAAGAAAAATTAAAGACAAATCTCGAAAGAAGAAGAAACAAGAATTTCCTGAGATTTTATTGTCTTGGGGGGGGGGGGGGGGGGGTTGGGGGGGCGCCTGCTTTCTATTTTCGTAGCTTATGTTCTGGAAATGTGATATACACTTATATAGATAGGCATAAGAATTTCTTTCGGAATTGTGTTTTCTGATTTTGGGGATTAAATTATAATTTTAGTGCAGGGATTTTCTTTTCTTTTTTATTTTTTTTGTCTTCACCTTCTTTTTTACTTACTTCGCCTTTGTTCACACTGCAAAATCACGTTCTCTTTTTTTTAGCTTATCCAAAAAGAAAATCAGAGAAAATTATTTTTGTGCTACATTAAGGAAACAAAAATTATAACTTAAAATTTCACAATTTTGCTTCCCAATCAAGATAGGAAAGAGAGATTTCGTATGAAATTCCACGTCACAATTTTTATTTTGGTATGAAATTTTTATTTAATTACATGAAAAATATATTAAATTAATTATTCGTTTACTTTTTTTATTATCCAAAAAAATCAAATAAAATTATAAGAACAAAATTCATCATTGAAGTTTAATGATAAAATTCAATGCAAAATTCGATACAATTGAAGCATTGGTATCATTATATTATTTATTAACATATTATTAATCATCATTTCATATACACATGTCGAAGTATTAAATATGAGAATAATTATATATAAAATTTTTATTAAATTTTATTTTTATATGTTAAAATAAATAATTATTTATTATTATTATTCTACATATGAATGGTAAATTTATTAAACTCTGCAAGTAAGATAAAGAAATTCATATGTCAAGTAATTAATTTTCATAAATATATTCTATGAGAACTTGTCAACCTTCTATAGAATAATTTCTCTTAAAATAAATACCTATTATAAAAAATTAATAGATACCTCACTGGCTTTCTTTTTTTCCGGCACAAATGTTGGTGTCTATGGATTTCTTTGTAAGAAATACATATATTATATATTATACATATATATTCATATATACTATTTTTACTTTCACTTTGATTTTTTCTTAAATCGTTTTGATCAGATATATATAAAGGGAAGGATCGTCTAAAACAATGATATTAATACGATATACATCCGGGCACAGAGTATCAATTTTTAACTTTTTGGGGTAAATGGTGATGGGCGTGTGATTATATTAAAACGAACGGTAATCGAAGCCGGAAGACTGTTCAAAAGTGCCACGTAATCAGCCACTGCTTTTTTTATTCTAGAAACCGTGTAAAAATGTGTCTCCCATTTCTTATCTGTCAGAAAAGGCCGGGTCCATGATGACTGGGCTAGAGGTGGTAATCGGTCACTCTTGTAAACTCGCGATTTGTTTGGAGCGCGTGTCTTCGACCATCATAATCGCCACTTGGCAGATGAGGTAGCGTGTGATGGCCATTTTGTCCATTAGGACAGTAGGTCTGAGAAGCAAAATAGCGTGAGCAAATTGAATAATCCTTGGAATTCTCAATAGCAATCTGTTATCTATAGCAATCTGTTTCTCTTCCCAAGGTAAGTGGGGATATCCCCTTTCTTTCTTTCTTTCGTTCTTGGAGAAATATAAAAATTTTGATACAAAATGCATTAATCTTTTAGTTTGAAAATAACTTTTTTATCTCTCTAAATTTGGTCCTCACCTTCTTAAAAACGTAATAATATTAATCAATTAATTAATTTTATATTATGGTCCTTTATTAATAATTTATTTTTCCTTTTTTTAGTATTCAAGACTTTTTTAATTATAAAATTATGAGACTTAATTAGGTTTAAAGTTATCCCTAATTACTTATCAAATTATATTTTAATTAATTTATATTCTAATTCACATGCATATATAAGTATAATTTATTTTTAATTCAACTATATATTAACTTTGCAATGAATGTACCAAATTATCTATAATTAAAAAGAAAAAATTATCATTAAGTTGAAAAAAATGGTTTACTGGTCAAGAATTTAAGTAAAACCAAACAAAAATGAAGAAAGGAGGGAAAAAAGGGAAAAGTAAACAACATGATGGTATTTTTAGTATTTATCAGTAAAACAAAAATTAGTTTGATTAATGGAATCCTGACATTAGTTACGTTGGCCAAGAGAGATAAAAGAGTATATTTTCAAACTCTAGGGAATAAATTTATTTTTCATTAAACCTCATAGTTGATAATTATTTTTCCTAATTGAAGTAAATATAATTTAAATATATTCAAACATAATTGAATTATAATGTAACCTCCTTAAAATTTAATGTGCTTCGGATTAGAGATGATATTCAAACTAGTTAAATTCTTTAACTGAATTTATAAAAAATTAAATCTCATGCTTTTGTAATTAAAAAACAAAAAATCTTGGATAGAAAGTAAAAAAAAATAAAATATTGAAATGAAGAAATAAAGGGGCATAAGCCAGATGGCCAGAGCACGAATTGAGGAAAAAGTGTCCTTCAATCTTAAGTAGCTTTGTTTATTGAGGGCATGAATATTATGAAATGAAAATCCGTGTAAATAAATAGCTTCGTTATTTTAATGCATTGTGTGTTGTTTCACGTATAGGTTCCGTCCAAGGAAACCACTGAGAATACTATTTCTTTGCATCTTCTGGGACAAATGAAATATGCCAAGGTTAAAGAACTCGACTAATAACTTGGCTGTACCCATATAACCTACAAGTAAGAATGTTAATTAATATCAAGGCAGATCATTATAGACTCTAAATTACAAAACAAAACAAAACAAAAATTGATGCAAAATCTGACATACTGTACACGATTATTCATCAGTTTTCTTTAGTACCAAAAGCGATAAAATTAACAGAGATATCGTCGGATAAAGACCATCTCCCGGTTAATGGGTTGTACACAAATCCGGCCATCTCTTTCACCTGTACAGCCAGCCATCACAAAGGTTAGTCATACCAGCAGGAAGAGTTCAATTATCAAAGTGATACTGCATGGTTTGCTTACATCAATTGAGGCGCGCTTTAAAATCATGGTGAGCTCTTCTGGGGTAAGGAAACTTGACCATTCATGCGTCCCTTTAGGAAGCTGCATAAAATCAAGTCACATGTTGTTAACGTATAACTAGCAACTATGATAAACAACAACAAAACATCTAACTGCCAGTGTTTTAAAATGTGCAGAGAATGCTTTCTGTAACCTCGGAGGCAACAGCTATGTCATGCTTGTTCCAGGGATAGTAGCCATATAAGTTCTGCAGGACACCAAATCCAGTTCTAAACAATACTATCTCATGGGAAATCTATACTTGTAATATAATTTAGCCAAATTTTTGAACCTGTATTCAACATTTTGCATGTGAATAAAAACGTATAGATGAGGAAAAAAACATAGAAACAAGACCTCAATTAGATTAATTTTCAGGCAACAAGATGTTAAGCATGAAAAGCGGGTCCTGAAAGTAAAGGTGAAATCTCTACAAGGAATTTGAATAAAGCACACAGATATATGGGTAAAATCACATATCAAAGCGGAAAAATAAATTTGATGTGCTGTACTTAAAAAGAAAATAACAGAATCATACCCACTGGAGCAGGTACTCTGCTGCAACAATGGCAGTTGCATATGATCTCATAGAACGGTTAATTGTTGAAACCACAGTAGCCCCTTCATGAACAGTTAATGCTGCGAGAGACTTGCAGAATTCAGCAGGATCTGCTACATGCTCAATCACCTTGAGTAAAAGTTATTGATTTACCCCCCCAAAAAAAAAGATGGATGCAAATTTACAACAAGGCATATAAAGAACGATTGAATGACTAAGATTTATTAAATGCTAAGTAACTTGAATAGGCCATAAAGTTTCTCTCAGCAATAGTGAGAGCACCATCAATCATGGTAAAGAACTAAAGAAGATCATAATAATAGCACTCTTTCAACAACCAGTGGAGACAGTTGGGGAGAGAGAGAGAAAGAGAGAGAAGTATTTGTCGAGAGGGAGCATACCTCTAAAGCAACCACTGCATCAAACTTTCTCTGTTCATCAACCAGCTTTTCTGTTCATGAGAATGTATCCGCATTAGCTATCATTTAAAGAAAAACACCAAACAAACTCATAAATGGACAGAAATGATAAACTAGCAGTAACAAAGATTTTTTATAACGGTCATAACTAATTCAAATCAGCCATGTCACTCCCATGGAACACAGTGTAATAAAAACAAATTTATTGAAGTCAAAATTACAATCTGCAATCATCATATAGGAGCTATCAAAGTACATGTGACCATCACGCGCGCCCAGATAAAATGGTTACAACTTCAATTGTCTTCAATATCTTTCATTGATTAAAAATAGGAGCTATCAAAGTAATACAGTAAATTTGACCAATTAGCCAACTAGCTGTATCAACAGCTTTCACACTCTGATACAATGTAGAAACTTGCTTGAAGTAAAAAACACCGAAAGGTCACAGTGGATGGAATACCAACCATGGAGATGGAATGTTCACCACAAACAGAAGAAATCTATTACAGTTACCATAAATTTGAGTAAAAACCCAGTGGCGGCAAATCAGCTAGCATTTCTCGTTTGCATTGATAAATTTTCCAGGTTATTGGCTCATGAAAGTCAACCAAGCAACATTGAGTTCATTGTAAATGGCCACTTACTCAGAAGAGAATCACACATATGGCAGTTCTAACAAATATTAAATTTGGGCACATTTTATCATTCAAATATAAACTTGGTTGCAGTGTCAGAAGCGGCAATCCAACAACAATGAATTCCCACAGTCCAATTCATCAAGAAATGTTACTATCTTAAAGATTTAAAAAAGGCATGCAAAACAAAGAAGCAATACCCATTTCAACACACCATAGATCTAGGATTACCAGAAAGATTAACCTACAGAGGAAGCATTAAGATTAGAATGTACCTGCTGTTGTACAACAATATTCAATAGTTGAAGTTGTTGGATCCAAATTCTGTAGAAACAGGTATCCATTTCAGGTCTAGAACACAATAACCATGATTGAGATACAGGCACTTGTCAATGTAAACTCTAAACTTGTAATTTGGTACAATAGTACTTAGAGACAAAAAATTCAAACTTGTAATGGTCAATTTACCATTAAACTAAATTGGAGATTTCAAATTTACCACTATTTTTTTGGGGGGCAATGTTACCACTCAGCGTCATTTTTTGGCGCAATGTTACCATTATCTGGATGGAAGAGGAATATTCCATCCAAAAATCTCAACATTCATTTAACTCTTGCCAACTGAAGAAAACTTAAAATAACTCTTTTATAAGTTTCAACTAGATAAATGAATGGGATTATTTACCAACAAAAAAAAAAGAAACACAAGAAAATATATTTTTATATATTTAAAACATCTTTCTTTTACATTTGTAAAAAAATCTATAACCATTTTTTAATTTTTTATATTTAGAAAACTATATTTGTACCAAAAACCATTTTGTAGTGAAAATACAATTTTTTTTTTCTTTTTTCCTTCTTTTTTTCTCTTCTTCTTTCCTTTTTCTCTGTTTGCCTCCTTGGCCACCAATTTGGAAGGAGCACCAGCAGAGGAAAGTTGTCACAAACCAAAACCACTTCCAGAGGCTGAATCTGGAGGGAAAGGGTCAAATCCCACTTCTACTGGTCAGATTTGGTGGCGAATGGAGCTACATTCGACCTTACAGGCTTTGGCCCAATGCTGATTGGATGCCAAAGGCCATCAAGAAAGCTATTAGGCGGAAAAGAGAAAGAAGAAAGAAAAAATATTAATTTTTTATTTTCTTTTACATGTTACTATTTGTTTTCTAAATTTACTCAACTCACAAATGTATTTTTATTTTAAAAATAATTTTAGAAATATAATTTCAATGTTTAAATATAAAAAGAAAATAAAAATGGTTATATATTTTTATAAATAAAAACATATTTAAAATATAAAAAATATGTATTTTCCTACAAATATAGAAAATGTTTTAAAATGTTTTTAGAAATTTCAATAGCATTTGATTTTCTTTTTCCTTTTTGGTATTTATCCCTCAAATTTATCTTTTTTTTTTGGATTTCAAATTTATCAAATTTAAATTTTGAAAGAAAAATTAATTATTTTTTCCACATTAACAAATGCTAATAGAATATTGGGATTCATGGTGGAATATCCCTTCTTCATCCAAATGATGGTAACATTGTACCGAAAATGGAGGTAGAGTGATAAAATTGCACCAAAAAAAAAGTAGAGTGGTAAATTTGGAGCTCCCAATCTTGGAAAGTGGTAAAAGTTTGAACTTTATCTCTCAAATTTGTAGAAAGAATCAATGATCTATAATGAAGAAAAGAACTTTGAATTTGCAAAACACAGCACCAGCAAATACTTACAACCCATCAAATAATCCACAAAATTATCAGAATATAAGTCAAAATATTTCTGGAATGAAAACTTAACTCAAATCAAAAAAGCTTGTTCTAAAACTTTTAATTGACTAGGTTTAGATATTTATTTGAGAAGAAAATATATTAATGATAGGAAGTAATTAAAAACAGAGATAGAATAAGTAGGGAATCATGAATTTGCTTAGGATGATTTCATAACAATGCAAATTCAGACACCGTGGACAAGCTAGAATGACTTGACTATTGACTAAATCTGTCACTTCAAGTCTTGAAAACTTATTTAGGTTAAAAATATCTAAGGTATATCCAATCACCCACCTAACTGGCTTGTTGTGCCTAACTAGACCAGGTAAAACCTTTCCTTCTCAAGAAATTTCCATATAAGTAACATATGCCTGATAAAATAACATAATCCAACTTGAACATATTCTTTAAGACATACAAGCTGTTGTTTTAAAGACAAAATGTAAGTAAAAAAAGCCTTGACAACACATACTATATTCAAAACCGTATTCCTAAAATAGATTGATCATTAAATATGCAATGACAACCTATTTATATTTTCAAACCCATGTGCACTTATCAATACTAAAATCAGCCAAGATGTACAAATGCACGGGGTAACAAGAATAGAAGAGGTAGTGCTGCAAAAACTAGAACATGTCCTACTATGAAAGTATACACTTGCATGTAGACAATTTAACACTATTTACAAATCATGAGAATGCTTGAAATGAAGAAAAAGAGCATACAGCATGAAGACGGGCTATCTTGATGTTTTTCTCTACTGCATCAATTCCAGTGACAGCTGCTCCCATTCGAGCCAAGGGCTGAGAGGAAAGAGAAAATAATAAATACCAGCAAAAGATCAAATTTAACATGAACGGTTTGCATCAACATCTAAAGAAAGAAGACAAAAAAGATATGTGGTAGATTTCCACTCCTCTTTCTGGTTTCCATGTTTCCTCTTTTTTCTTATCCATTTGTGATTTTGGCCATATAAGCCACAACTTTCTACCATAATCACATCTGCAAGCCCATTTATTCCTCTCCCTATTTGTAACATTTCATATAACTTCCTAAATTTAAAATCCTTCTCCCATTCAAGGTAACCACTGTGTGATCAAGGTCCCAAGTTGAGAATGTTAAGAGAAGGAACCTTTCTACAAGCACCAGCAACTTCATATCTAGTAGCCTAGTCTGCTAGTCATTTTGGGTACATATTGGAGACTCGTTGGGCCTGGGCAGGTAGCTCTTTCCTATCCCATAAATCCTCCCCTCCACGCCCCCCCCAACCTCTTCTTATTCCCTAGATTCCAAATTTGAGACCTACAAGATGTGTTTCAGGTTCCAGCCATTGGGATGTCCTCTTGGGGATAGAGAGTCATTTCTTGATTTTGCCTCACTATTTGTTCCTCAACCATTCAATTCTCATATGGCAGGGAATAGAATTTGATTATTCACACATACAGCCAATCTAAAAGCCTTGGTATCCAAGTATCAACAACATCACAAGGAACACAACATGCAGGACCCTGTTTCCCCAACTTGTTAATATCCTGGTTGTTAGTGGAATGGTGCCTGACCAGGATTTGACCATTTCACAACTATTACAAATTGATCATAGCCACTACTTTCCACTCAAGTAGGCTTGACTCCATCCTCACTATGTTGACCAATGGGACTTCAAGAGACACAGAGAAACTCCATAATATCATATTGTTTTAGGGTTATATTAACTGATTCTTCCATAAATTTCCTAAAATTGGATTGCCAATGAATGGAACTAATATAAAATGGTGAAATGCTTAAAGAAGATTGTGTTTACATAGGTAATCAAGAATTTGAGAATATCTAAAACGGAGACTTTAAGGCCATTCAATATCAGGGAACAAACACAGGATTTTCAAGAAATATTAAGCAACGAAGATGTCATTTACTGAGAATGTCATTTGCAATAAGCTGTTATGTGACTTCTGATTAGTGGCGCTTTTGAGTGAACAATGCAGGGTAACTAATTAGGAGTAGGTACATTGCCAGAATTTAAAAAACTACCAAATAATTTCTTATATGAAGAAAATTCCAGTGGCAGACATGCATAAATACCTCTGAAAGAATTCCACCACCGCAACCAACATCAATAATCCTTAGTCCTTCAAAAGGCCTAGCACAGAGAGGATCCTTTCTACGATAACCGGCAATCATCATATAAACCATATATAAGATCAAACATGCATAAACAAACACGACCAGTGCTTAAAATGAAAATTTCCAAAAATAAAAATTCAAAATTTGATGACATGATAAACTGAAAAACCAGTATGGCAAAGACATAGTTAAATTTAGTATTTACAGATACCAAAAAAGCCATCCGAAACAAAGTCAGCAGGTAAATTCTAGTGTTTCTGAAATAGAGGCAACATACCCAAAATGTCGGCAAAGAGTAGAGCGGATGAAAGCTAGCCTGGTAGGATTCATAATATGCAATGGTTTGAATGGACCTTCAGAATCCCACCTACAAACAATCAAAATGCTGAAAACAATCATTAAATATTTAAATTTATTTGTTAAATTGGCCTAAAAAAACCCCCGATTTTTACTGACCAAGTATCGGCAATGGCAGAGAACTTGGCGAGTTCGGGTTCCTTCAAAGAAGAGGGAGTTGAAGAAGGCTTGCTGAATCTGTTGTTAGATTTGGACTCGATGCTGTTCTGAGGTTCGGAAACAGGGAGTTGAGAAGGTAAATCAGAAAAGAGCCTCACATTGGAAAGGTTTCTCGGAAGGAATCGGAACCACCGAGGTTGGCTTAGGAGCTTCGAAGAAGCCATCGGAAAATATGCTTCAGATTCGGAGATTTGAGAGAAGGAAACCCGAAGCGAGGTTTAACGGCCTTCGATTCAAGCTCGGAATGGGCTGCAGCATTTTAGCCCATCCATAACAACCCCAAAGGAAAAAGCTTTAACTTTAATTCATGGGCTTTCATTTATGAATGCTTCATTTTTCTTTTGCTGCTTAAGCTAAACCAAAGTCGATGTTCCATGAATTTTGGCTATATAATTTACATAGAATTGTAACTAATCATTTGATAATTTTACCTCCGCTGATACGAAAATCCTGCATCTTGGCATCATCGCAGAGGTCAAATTCTATTATAGTTTTAAGATCTTAAGACATTCGACCATTCCTTGGAGAAATACAATTGATAAATATGTTTTCTCATGATAACTTTGTTCTCTTATGGGTGAATTTGTAAAATTAATTGGGAAATAACATAGTAGGTGATTAACGTAATACTTGAAAATACTCCTCAAATATTGAATAAAATTTAAATAAATTTTTATTTTTTTATCAAGTTCAATCATGTTTATGTACTTTTATTGTGAATCAAATAAACTTTTATTATTAATGGTTAACTAATTGTTGTTAATTAAAATATTAATTCTCATTTTTATATCATGTAATGTTAACATAGAAGGTAAAAAATGTCACTTAATCATGTCATCGTATCACATCAATAAATTTCGTCATTTCTATTACAGCATGTCAACGTGCTAAATCAATGCAACATTGTATAGAATGACAAGTAATATTTTGACTAATAACAGCTAGTCAATTATTAATTATAACAACTTTGATTCAAAATAAAAGTATAAAGATTTGATTGAACGTAATAAAAAAATAAAATTTTATTTAAACTTTTTTAAATAGTTCATAAGTTTTTTTATGCATTATAACTAAGCAATACTTTTCCCTATCCAAATTATATATTCAGCAAAGAAAAATTAATATACATATATAATATTAAATATATAAAACAATCGATACAAATCAACTCAAGTGTAATAAAATTAACTTGGTTTTTATATAAAGATAATACATTACATATATTCTTTATAGGTTTTTATAATTTGGAAATATTGTAAAATTTTTAATTATCAATTATACAAAATATATTTTACATTTTAACTAAACAATTATACAAAAGTATTGCTTTCATTTATGATACATTAGAGGAGGTTAGAATTCTTGATAAAATTGTGAATTTGTTGACTTAGAGTTGGCAGTGCAACGATACAAAGCTTTTATGAGATGGTTCCCATTCGACACCCTTTAACCCATCTAGAGGGTTTAAACAAGGAGATTTTTTATCTCTGTATTTGTTTGTACTTTGCATTGTGAGACTTACTCATGGGATTCATGCAATTGTTGCAAACAGTATATGGAAACCAATGAAGTTAAGTCTTAGGTGTCCACTTTTGACACGCTTATTTTTTGCCAGTGATTTTATACTTTTTGCAAAGGCTTCAATTGAGCAGATGGAGGTGATAAAAGAAGTCCTTGATGATTATTGTGCATGCTCTGGACAAAAGGTGAGTGTGGAAAAGTCTTTGTTTTACTGTTCAAACAATGTGAGTAAGGGTAGCATCAACAATCTAGTGAGCTTTTCTAGCTTTCATTATTCTGATGATCTTGGTAAATATCTTGGGGTTCTGTTATTGAATGGTCGTAAGGGAATATGTTCATTTAATAGTTTGGTTGATAAAATTAATTATAAGCTCAGTTCTTGGAAAGCATCAACTCTTTCTTTCGCAGGTCGTCTCACATTGCTTAAATTTGTATTGATGACTAGCATTCCCAACTATGTAACGCAAACAATCTTGATTCCCCTCACCATTTGCCAGAAACTTGAGAGATTGTGTAGAAATTTTCGATGGGGAAGTGATGAAAACCATAGAAAAGTTCATCTCATTAGTTGGGATAAATTGTGCCGACCCAAAGATGAAGGTGGTATGAGAATAAGGCAGTTGAAGCTTATAAATGAGGCCTTTCTTTTGAAGTTATTGTGGCAACTTATGAATAGACAAGATGCACTTTGGGTTAAAGTGTTAAATGGTAAATACAATGTTAATGTTCCTCGAAGACCCGAGAGCATTAAAGAACTGGAGCTTTTAATTTATGGGTTGTGTGAAGTCAGATGGATTATGGTAAACTTTTACTTCTAATATCAGATGGATAATTGAAGACAATATGTTGGTGAATTTCTAGAAGGATTCATGGCTAGGTGATAAAACTTTGGCATATGTTACATATAAAGTCAAAGGTAGGAGGAGGGGGACTAATAAGTGCCATCACCCCTCTTAAAATTTTAAAATTTAATAATGTTTCTTTGTTTTTTTAATATAGTAGTTTCACTCTCTATTTTTTAAAAGAATTTATAATTTTACCTCTACAAACATTGAATTTCTTATTTTCGCCCATCAAACATAAAATTCTAGCTCAACCACTGTCTAGAGTGGCGAGCCCAGCATTGGATAAGGATTCGATGAAAGACTTCATGAACTTAAATGGTCATTGGGACCATGATAAATTGTTTAATTGTCTTCTTTATGAAGTTGTGATGCAGGTGCTACAACCTATGCGTCCCATGTTAGCTATCTAGTAAAACGAACTGTAGTAGGGCTTATCTTTGTTGGGTTAGTTTGCTATTGCAACTGCATATAATTATTTAAGGAGCATATCGTCCTCAACAGCTATTGAGCTGAGTGGAATATGGCAAGCTGCATGGAGGTGGTAGGAGCCACAAAGGGTGAGAACATTTCTAGTTCAATGTTTGCATGGGAGAATTCTTACTAATAGAGAAAGGCAACGGCTCACATCAGATTCAGTTTGTTTACATTGTAAGATGGAAGATGAGAATGTGATACATGTGCTTAGAGATTGCATGGTGGCGACTTCTTTATGGGTAAGACTTGTCCCTCAACAAGAACGATACAAGTTCTTTTCACTGTCACTATGGGAATACTTGGTAAGCAATCTCCAAAATCATAAGTTGGTATTTTATGCTACTCCATGGTTTGTTTCATATGGCTTTGTTTGTTGGTATTTGTGGAAGTGGTGCAATAGCTTTATGTTTGATGCTATTTCTATACCAACAGAGAATCAATAGGCAAAGCTACTACAGGGGGGTGATTCGTAATTCTGAGGGTTATTGGCAAGCTGGCCTTGCGACAAAATTGGGCATGTGTTCAACGTATAAAGCTGAGTTGTGGGGGGTGCTTTGCAGACTTGGACTAACTTGGGTTCGGGGTTCACGAAGGCAATGGTTTAAGTTGATAATAGTATTAGTCAATTTTGGTGGATAAGTTCCTCTTGTGTACGAATATGAATTTAATACGTGCAATCAAGGATATTTTATAGAAACAGTGGGACATCTAGTACATGTCTATCGCAAAGTATGGCTAACTATGGTTTTAATTCATACGAAGATTATGCTATGTGTGAAAGTCTTCCAATTGCAGTTAGGAGATTATTAATGTATTGACATGTTGAGAGTTTGTCTTTCAAAACTAATTCAAGTATAATAATAAAAGTACTTCCTTTTCAAAAAAAAAATTCAAATAATAACTTTATCATAATCACAAAACTATTAAAATACAAATAAAACAATTAATCATTTGAATATTTTTAAGTTTGTTTTTTAAATGGTTTCATCTATTTGTTTCTTTGACTATTTTTATTTTTGTTTTTTTTTCTTCGACCGTATTTTGGAATGGTAAAACAACAGGTGAGATAGAAGATAACCTTTTAATTTATCAAAATCTTTCACTTTTTGTTGTTTCGCAATTTTTCAAAATTTTGGTGGATCTCATATCAACAAAACAAGTAATTATAAAAATTTATTTCTTTTTATATATATTATACCTTATTATTTTAAAAAACAAGTTGTTTTTTATTATAATTATACCTTTATTATTTTCAATATTTATAATAATATGATTCATATTTTATTTTTATATCAATTTCAATGCAGGGAAAATATATAAAAGCTTAAAATTTAAATTACTTTTATAATATAATGAAAGGAACATTAAATCTTAAGCTAAACTATGGGGAGTTTATAAAAGGTTATGTCTTGTATGGGACATGGGTTAGCGCAAACATTAATTTACAAGTTGATAGCCAGTTTGTTGCCTGGGCCATTGCCTCAATTTGAACTCACCCATGTTCTAATTTAGATTTAATTAATACAATTCAGAACTTACTTGAGCGATAATAAAAAGTTTTTATACGCCATGTATATGGAGAAGGGAATGGATTAGTTCACATCATAGCTAATATGGGGTTGTTTTTTCTTTCTATTATAATTTACCAGCTGGAATTAGAATGTAATTTTTTTATTCCCAAAAAAAAATTGTCGTTGGCTGAGGAAAGAGCCATGGCCTCCTTGGCTTTGCCAGAATCCTGCATTTACCCATGCTCCTTTCAGAATTTTTTATTACTAATCTTTACTTGGATTTCTTAACATTTCAGCTTTATCCCAAAAAGCTTTGACATATTTCCTTTCTATACCCCTTTTAATTTATTTTTTATAAGTTTTTACATATAACAATTTGAATAAAAAGAACAGAAACTAAAAATTTTATTTTAAAATAATAGCAACAAATGGTTCGTATTCTCTCTTAGCTTTAAACAACACTCTCTCCCTTATTATATTCTATCGTAGCTCTGTCCCTGTCAATGGGGACAATTGCCCCCATTACCTCCACCCTGGATCTGTCCTTCCTTACAAAAGGTGGATGAATACTAATTGTTGTTTCTTTGTGGCATTTGTTTTCACTCGTCACAAATTTATGTTTGTTGATAATATAAAAATAAACCAACAGATATTTCAAAGTTTTAATATTTTTTACGTTAAAAAATAGAGAAAAAAATTAAAAAACAAAGGGATACCCATTCATGCCGTGGCATTATTCTGTAACTTTCCTCAAACAGGAGGAAAACAGTGAAAAGCAGACAAAGTTGAAAAGCAGCAAAGCATTGAAGTAATGAAGTAGTGTTTTGTACTTGAAAATAGACTTGTATCCCACGTGAGGGCCTGGAACTTTTTCCTCACCTTTGGCTAAGAG